CCTACAGTATGTTTGCCGCGTAAAGTGGGAAAGTGTGCCGAAAATAATTATTGCTTGTATTGTACTCCATAATGTTGCGAAGAGCTTGGGCGATCCTGACTTTGAGTTATTTGAACAAGACCCAGATGAAGATGAAGGAAATCATGAGAATGACGAACTTCCTCTCCGCCAACTAGGTCAACAAATAAGAAGAAACTTGAGTATTATAATAAATAGTTTTACTGATTAAAGTGTATTTATAAGTTATAATAAGTTTTATTTTCGTGAACATCATAAGTTACAGGAGGCTTCTGACACTGCATCATTTAAACGCGTATTGCTATCCTGGAAAAGGAAGCCGAATGTCTCAACAGTGAGCTGACGCTAACAAAAAAGCTTGCAAATGAACTTGAATACTCAAATAATTTGCAAAAGGCTATGCCGAAATCATTTGATAAGACTTATGCTTCAGTTACTTCCCAACAGAGCAGCAATGTAGTTCTTCAGGCTAGTGCTAATAAGAGTACATCTAGCGATGCATTAAAAAGGACTGTGAAATACAAGGCACCAGTTCTTATTGTCAAATCATCTCCTGAGTCTGCTAATAACATTGACTCCTCCAATATCATGCGTGAGATTGCGGCATCTGTTAATCCATCTAGCTTAAATGTCTGTATTAACAATACTCGGAAAATAAAGAGTGGTATTGCTATACACTGCAAAGATGATGAATCTCTCAATACTCTTAAAAATAACTTGGATACAAAATTGGGAAGAAGATTTGTCATAAGCGAAGCTAAAAAGCTGAATCCGCGACTTTTGATAAAAAATGTTAACCTAGAGGGATTAAACACTCCTGACGACATTATATCTAGTATTATGGCGTTGAATAATTTAAGCAGCTTTGAAAGGGCCAACTTTAAATTTGTGACTAAACTGAAGCACTTCAATAGTACGAATATAGTTATTGAAGTTACTTCACCTGTCAGGCGAGCGATTTTGGAGAAGGGATATATTTTCATTGGATGGAAGAGATCTACAGTTCAGGACCATATACATTTTGTGAAGTGTATGAAATGTTGTGCCTTCGGTCATATAGAGAATTCTTGCAATGCGGAGCTGGTTTGCCCTCGATGCACAAGAAATCATAAATTGAAAGAATGTAAATCCGATGTGTTACAATGCATTAATTGCCTAAACTATAATCGATCCAACAAAAAGAGTATACCTACTGATCATTCTTCCAATTTTAACGGTTGTACTGTGTATCGGCGTTACGTTGAAAGTATGCAAGAAAAAATTAGTTATGAATGAAACAAATAACCTAAAATTATGTCATCTTAATGTTCGCTCGTTAACAGCAGATTTTAATAATTTTGTTCCTCTGATCAATGATCAGTTTGATTTAGTCGGAGTAACAGAAACCTGGTTGAATTGCAATATTCCTGCTCGCGATGTATTGCTTAATGGATATACATTTTTTAGGAAAGATCGTTCTGACAGGGGAGGTGGTGTCGGGTTATACGTAAAAGTAAATCTCACATGTCAACTGCTAGAACTAGATTTTGCTGGTTAATACCTCACTTGAAATTATGAGCTGCAAATTGGTCGCAAATAACCGCAACTTTTTAGTCATTGTTGTATATCGTCCGCCTTATTGCTCCATGAATCAATTCATCCAAGTTCTTGACAACATACTCTCATTTTTCACTCCACAGTATGAAAATATAGTGTTTCTTGGCGACATGAATGTTGATTTACTTAATCATAACAATATTCTTAGTAATTGTTTTGATTCCTATAACTTTACTCAAGTTGTCAATGAGCCAACTAGAATTACGCAGTTCAGTTCTACATTGATAGATCCTATATTCGTCAATGCTGGGGTAATGTTAAACAAATCTGGAACGCTAAATGCTGTTATCATTTCAGATCATAGGTTGGTATATTGTGAACTTCTCGTGACTATTCCTAGACCAGAAGCAAAGTTTTTGACATATAGAGATCTAAAAAATGTGAATATTGAGCTGCTTAAAGAACGATTAACAACTTTGCATTTGGATGATGTTTTCTATGTACAAGACATTGATACGAAAGTTTCAATTTTCACTGAGCGTTTGATTCACTTATATAATGAACTTGCCCCAATCAGGTCTGCACGCATTACCAAAGCTGCTGCTCCTTGGTTGACATCAAATCTAACGCGTATACTTCGTTTGCGAGACAATGCGTTTCAAAATTGGCGGACGTATAAGGACCGTAGAAATTTTGCACTGGCCTCGATTCGCAGAGAAAAGAAGGCATATTTAACCCAGCTGGATATTTCGAACTCGGGAAAGCTGTGGAAAAATTTGAGAAGTATGAATATCTGTCAGCAGAAACGAATTGAGATTCCTGATAGTTTATCTGATCCAGAGGAAACTAATAATCATTTCCTCTCAAATTTTACATTCGACGATCACTCCAATAATGTAGTTAATAATACAGCCAATTTTTACTCCAACAACCGTTTTGATAATAATTTGACTCCTTTCACTCTTCATACAGTAACACAAGAAATCGTTCTTGATATCATTTTATCGATTAAATCGACTGCCACTGGGAGTGATGGATTGAATTCAATAATGATACGACTTTGTTTGCCTGAAACACTTGACCACATAACTCACATAGTAAATATGTGTTTAGAGAAGGGTTTTTTCCCAACAAGCTGGAAAGAAGCTGTCATCACACCTATTGCTAAAGTCACAAACCCAGCTGAATACCATGATCTTAGACCGATCAGCATTTTATGTTTTCTTTCTAAGATATTAGAAAAGATCGTCTATCTACAGCTTATTGAGTACCTTGAACTTAATCATATCTTTCCGATACATCAGTCTGGATTCCGCAAGAATCATAGTACTACAACTGCTTTGTTATATATAATTGATAACATAATCAGAAATTTGGATGATCGCATTGGTACAATATTGGTTATACTTGATTTATCTAAAGCGTTTGATTCTGTGAATCACCGTATACTTTTGAGTAAGTTGAAGTACCTTGGTTTGAGTAATACTGCTCTTATGTTCTTTGACTCTTACTTGTCTAATCGAACGCAAAAGGTGAAAACCAGTAAAGGTGTATCTGTGCCCAAGTATGTTCCTTCTGGAGTTCCACAGGGCTCGATCTTGGGACCTCTGCTTTATTTGGTTTTCACGTTTGACTTGTATAACAGTGTTGAGCATTGCGCAATCCAAACTTATGCAGACGATACACAGTTAACATTTAATTTTGACTCTAGCAACTTCAATGAAATTTCTTATAAACTTAATGTCGACTTAGCTAATATTGATAATTTCTGCAAACGGCACTCACTGAAAATAAACCCTAGTAAATCGAATGCTATTGTCTTTAGTCCACATAACTTTCCAGTTAATGTTGTTGATCTAATCCAACTGTCTGTGAATCATACTGTCATACCCTTAGTTAACGAAGCAAAAAACCTGGGCGTTATTTTGGATAAAGACCTCCGTTTTAATCAGCACGTGAATGCCACCCTTAAATCCACATATATATCGTTAAAATTATTATATTCAAACTGGCACATTCTTAATTTCAAAACGCGGAAAAAACTTGTTCAGAGTCTTGTTATGTCTAAAATATTTTATTCGCTGGTTCTTTATTATCCTTGTATTGATTATAACACTAGATATAGACTGCAGAAAATCCAAAACAGTTGTTGTCGTTTCGTATATGGCCTCAGAAGGTATGATCACGTATCGTCTAAGATAAAAGAGCTAAAATGGCTAAAACTTGATAAACACTATACTTTCTCTTTGGGTGTATTTGTCCATAAATTGATTTCCACAAGGTCACCCATTTATCTTATGGACAAACTTGTACCTCGTGGTCAACTCATTTCTAGAGCCCTACGACATAACCATCTCTTCGGTATGCCATTCCACAGAACATGTATATTCCGAAAATGTTTTACGTACAATGCTATCAGGACTTACAACTCTGTCAACCAGGTACTCAAGTCCAAAAGCTTACCTGTTTTTAAAATTAAATACAAATCTGCTCTTTTGGAATTGCCTTTTTAAAGATCCCTGATGATTAGCCGACTGATTTTGTAGCTTTTGTAAATTTTCCATGCTTTATACATTCTCTAATTGTTCATTGTTTTCTTTTTATTTTTCTGTACTGTACTATTGTCCTTATTATTATTATTATTTTTTCACTTCGTTTTTGAGGTTAAGCCATGTGGCTAAACTGCGCCTCAATTCGAAGGTTTCAATAAAGACATTTATTATTATTATTATTATTATTATTATTATTATTTCTAATTTCGTTTTATAATACTCTTGTTGTAAAATACTTGTTTGGTACTGCTGTAATAGCACTAGACGTTGCAGTTCTTTTGTAGTTAACCCTTTGGTTTCCTCAGTTTCGTATTTCTCTGTTTGCTTACTGCGCTCGGTATATAGTTCACTTCCTTTTTCTTGAACACTACCAACCTGAATGACACCTCTAATTTTCCCAGTTGTAGGATTACAGTCACCTTCCTTAGCTTTCAGCAACTTTCTTTCCCAATCTAACAATTTAATTGTTTTATTACCAGTTTTTTTTTTAGATCTCTTTTTTTCCTCAATCTTGATTTCATGTTGTTGATTTTTTTTAATTAGCCTTTAGTATCTAATGGTTTACCGAATGCTGATTCGTATTTTTTCAACATCTTCAAGGCATCGTCCTTTCTCATTTTTATTTTTGGAACTTGTGAATCATTATGAATATGAAAACAAGGATATGCTTATACTTCTACCTTTTTCTCCGAAGCCATACCTGATACTTTTACCTTATGCTTCCGAGGATATGCTTCTCTTTTATGAATACGGCTCATTATGTTATCGGCGAGCGATACCACATATACAAATTTGCACCAATGTATCAAGTATAAAGAATAGTCCACGGTTGGTCCAGAATTATTGGTATAAAGCTGTAATCTCATCTCATGAAAAAATTGGTTTGTGACTTACCTAATTGGACGTACATCTTGGGCCGGATGTTCTCCTGCCAGGCCGCCAAACAAACTGTGGTGGCTGCAGCAAACCACGTGACCACCAAGACCGACCACGATTTCGTACAAACCTCGCGCGGTTTCCATCGTCGGTTCGTCGCCATTTCGACGGCGAGCGATTTTTCTATTTCGTTTCAAAACAAAATATCGTCAAAAACGTTCGAGTCAGTTCGTTTTACGTGTGACGCGACGCCATTTGCGATGATGACGTCACCGGGACAGTCGCGGCTGTGGATAGATGCCCGCTGTTGTAGTCGTAACGACGATGATGCTGCCACGACAAACGCACCGCAACCACCGACAACGGCATCTGGAACAAAATGAGAAATTTGAGTTATATTTTTCGAAAATAAACTGAATAAAACATAGCGCAAATGTACAACACAGCATACAGGGTGGCCCCCCATTCGTGAGTCTCCTGGTGTATTTTGGAAAAACTCGACCTTTTCGTTGGGCCACCCTGTATGTATAGTGTTTGACCAAAAATAAAGAGATCGATTTTGTACAGGCACTGAACTAATTGAAAGTAGTAATCATTTTTTGGGCAACGTATTAACCTTTCGTTTAGTGGTGGGTATAACTTCATTATTATAAAGGATAGACTGATCAATAGTCTCTTGGAGTTGTCCGAAAAACATTAATTATATCCGTTATTATGTGTTCCTTCTATCCACTTATTCCTTTATAAATGAATTTGAAACCACTCTCCGCAATTATTCTGCCTTTACTAGCATTAATGTATAAACATGGCATGTATGAGATGGAAAATTAGTTGCCGGAATAAACCTAATAATAAAATATGTATTTCCTAATCATTGTAACTTTTCCCCCCAATGGACCAATACACAGTAAAGTAAAGTATATAAACAAATACGAATATTTACCTAAATACCTTTAGAAAACGAATTCATGCTTCATTGCTCCGTAAACAAATGCGTTATTAGTAGAAAAACTAAATTCCTTGTTTTTACATTATCTGCAATGAACACAATACAAGACTGAATATAAGCACTTTTTTATGAGGGACAAAAATATGTAGACAAATTCTTTTCAACATTAGTTTAGTACAGTTTCGTGTCAGAAGAGGATTAGTTAGTGTTCATCAAGTATTGTGGAATAAGTTGAGTGATTTTAAGACCATGCCGGGTGGTCCAGAAATTTATTTCGATGTGAAAACTAAGACCATTGAGTTATACAAAGATGGTCAACGTCAAGTCGACATTGCCAAAAATTTGAAGCTGAAGCGTAAAGCAGTTTGGGCAATATTGAACAAATATAAACAAAAAGGTATCTTGGAAGCCTCTAAGAGAAGTTAGAAGTTAGATTAATACAAGTAATTTCGTCCAAAGATCCAAGTTCAATATGTTTTGATCAGATGGTGTTCACGTTAGACGTCCTAGTGTAGAAAGATTGGACCCCAAGTACACTTTACCCACTGTCAAACATGGAGGCGGGTGTGTTATGGTTTGTGGGTGTTTTTCGGGGTTTGGAATGGGACCTTTACTTAGAATAGATGGCATTATGGATAAGTTTGTGTACACAGACATACTAAAGCATGTCATGTTACCCTATATGGAAGACAATATTCCCTTAAGATCAATCTTCCAGCAAGATAATGACCCGAAGCACACTTCAAATGTCGCAAAGAAATTATTTCTGGATGAAAAAATACCAAATGGCCCTCACAGTCGCCCGATATAAACCTCATTGAAAATCTATGGGAATACTTATATAAGCAAATACGAGATAAAAATTATTCAAACAATGATGAACTGTTTGCCGTTTTAGAGCAAACGTAGAGACAGATTGATGAATCTTATATCAAGAAACTTCTACAATCTATGCCGAGACGGTGATTGATAATAATTTTTATGCTACAAAATGTTAACACAAACATGGTTGGTTTTCTATAATTCAATGAACTTTGCCTTTTTTTTCTATAATTGTTTTGCTTTGTCTATATATTTTCGTCCTTCATAGTTCCAGTACTTTTTTTTTAAATTAATTTTTCATTGAAGGGAGGCTAATGAGTTTATTTATGTATAAGTGAGAATTATGCTATAACGAATTATGTATACAGATTGGTGTATTAATAAAACAAGTTAAAACAGAAATACAGCACCATATTAATTTGTATATATACCTTTGTCCACTACTGTATGTCGTAATAGCCGAAACGTTAGCAAAGTTATCGTCTCAACATTTGACTTTGACAGGGATACAATTATTGCCTATCGAGATGTTGGTTTGTCCTATCTCAAAATTGGCCGCCGTGTTAATTGTACTGAAATGACGGTAATGGGAATACCTAGGGATACGTTTCAATTACAATGTTTGTATATGTGTTACTCTTCTGTATTCATCATACCTATTTGCATTCAATTCGAACGATGGACGATTATCGAAAGTTTGAGGCAACCTTGGACTTACTTGTTAAATCCAAATGTTCAAAATTGGATAGTGTATGATCTCGGATTACAGAAAACAGATTGCTAGAGTTCATTGCGAACAGAGGCAATAAAACGATCTTTCTATCCAAGAGTGTGCCGTTCATGACCTGATTCAAGCTGATCAGTACTTGGAATTGATCAATTTTATTATTCAAATTACGAGGCTCTCTCAATATCATATTTTTTGTAATGTGCTTAAGACCAATGAAATTACTTCATTTTGGGATTCCATTCTTCTGTATTTTTATTCTCATTTCCTTGGGATTACCTGATGAATGAATTTTCTTATATTTAAAGCACTCTTTCATGGAGTTCCTAAATCTTAGAAACGGCTGAAGCCAGTGGAAGGGTTTAAGAGGATATCAGTCACAGAATTCTAACTTCGAGGCAGTTATCTATATCCAAAAGCACCTGTTCCGATGTAGATAAAAACGGAAAACAGAAACTCACATCTTTTAAAAAACCAACCAGTAGCAACGTCGGTATGCCTTTCAGTCCACAAAACTCCGAACAAAAATAGAAACAGAAATCCCTCAAAACCAAAACTAAGCTCCTGCCCGCGTCTAAATCGAATCGCGTGCAAATCGTATCGCGCGACGGTCGTAACAAAGCGACGCGACGCCGCGACAGTGACTGTATAGGGCGCCGAGACGCTCGGCGTCGATTCTACAGCTGATCCAGTGTTGCCAAATTACGGGACTTTCCCCAAAGGTTACTTTCAATGACTTTTGGCCTATATCATAAAATATCAAACTATGTAGCAATGTTTCTGAGGTTTTGAGCCTTAGAAATAGGCGAAAAAATGAGGTTTTTCCTAGTATATACATGCTATAAAACCCGGTGTAAGCGGCATCAGTTAGTAGGAATTTTATATTTTTTTATTTTCTTTGCGATAAAGTTTGTCGACTCAACGTAAATCTTCAAGAACCTTGAAAATAGTATCTTCTAGTTTATTCCATTTATGCATTTTGCTGTTAATGCAAAAGTTATTTTTTTATAACTTGTTTATCAATGGATCACGACAGGTAGAGTGATTTCTGGCATCCGCAATCAATTCCAAACACCAATAAATAAATAAAATCGTTCTGATTCGTCGAAGTACTACGTTTTTTGATCGCATGTGCGCTATCAGGAGTTTCGTAGAAAACTTGCCAAGAAATGTAAACAATACATAATAAGCAATCATAAACTAATCGATAATATCTCATTTTACAAAATATAATCGTTCTCAATTCTAAACAAACTTTTCGGAAAATTTTACTACTTTTTGCGGAAAAAAAAGAATTTTCCCAAAATCGTTTTAATTTTTTCCTGACTTTATTTGAAGTGCGATTTCAAAATAAATTGCACATTAACATTGCCACTGTTTCAATATGACGTTTCGTCTCTTGTTCGCCATCATCAACTTTATTTTTCTGATGGACGCCATATTGGATTCTTGCACGGATGAATAGAGTTTTTAATTCTGATTTCCAAAATATTTAATATGTAACTTATGGACACTGCCAAGCCTTAGAATAAAATTTCCTAGGTAGGCCTTGAAATATAGTCATTTGTTTCGTATACCGGATTTGAAGAAAATCCGCTGTTTATTTCCTGGTTTTATACGAAATAAGATTTTAAAAGAAAATGCACAGCAGCGTTGCCACTTTTTCTGCTCTACAATTTTCTGCAATCGGACAAAATTTTTGTGCAAAGTCATGATAAACGTCATGTGTTTAATTAAAGTAATCTTCATTCTTAGTAGTAATGGGTGATTTTTTTGCTAGTATCTTTTTGGCAACACTGTTTTTGACAGAAGACGCGCGGATCGTGTCTTGTGTTATTGTCAAACTTGTTCAGTTTGGTCTATAATTTAACCATGAATCGACTTACAAACGAACAACGTTTGCAAATTATTGAATTTTACTATCAAAATTCATGCTCGGTTAAGAGAGTGCATCGAGCACTGCTTCCAATTTATGGGCAATTTGGTCGGCCTACTGAGGGAGCTATTCGGAAGCTTGTGACTAAATTTCGAACCCAGTTTACATTATTGGACATTAAACCACCAACGCGCAGACGTAGAGTGAGGACTGAAGAAAATATTGCGGCTGTATCAGCCAGTGTTAGTGATGACCGTAAAATGTCGATTCGCCGCCGTTCGCAGCAATTGGGCCTCTGTTACTCCACTACATGGAAAATTTGGGTGTTAAACCTTATAAGATACAGCTCGTGCAAGAATTGAAGCCACACGACCTCCCACAATGTTTCCCATTTGGTGAATGGGCGCTGGCAAAGTTGGAGGAAGATCCACATTTTTATCGAAAAATTGTGTTCAGCGACGAAGCTCATTTCTGGTTGAATGGGTACGTTCACAAGCAAAATTGCAGCATCTGGAGTGAAGACCAGCCAGAAGCATTGCAAGAGCTACCAATGCGTCCCGAAAAAATCACTGTTTGGTGTGGATTATGGGCCGGTGGCATCATCGGGCCGTACTTCTTCAAAGACGACAATGGCCGGAACGTAACTGTGAATGGCGAGCGCTACCGTGCGATGATAACAAACTTTTTTTTGCCCAAAATGGAAGAGCTGGACTTGGCTGACATGTGGTTTCAACAAGACGGTGCCACATGCCACACCGCATACGAAACAATGGCCCTATTGAGAGGCGAGTTCGGTGAATAGTTTATCTCACGTTTGGGGTCCGTCAATTGGCCGCCTAGATCGTGTGATTTAACGCCGTTGGACTATTTATTGTGGGGCCATGTTAAGGCTAATGTCCACAGGGATAAACCAGCAACGATTGACGCACTGGAAGCCAATATTGAAGCATTTATTCGTGAGATACCGGCCGATATGTTGGAGAGAGTGTGCCAAAAGTGGACCTTGCGCATGGGCCATCTAAAGCGGAGCCGCGGCCAACATTTACATGAAATAATCTTTAAACATTAAATTATATCGACCGTTCTATCCACTCAAATAAAGATTTAATCGTTTTTTCAATTTTTTACCTATACCTCTTAAAAAATCACCCGTTATTTCAAATGTACCAAATTCCAATATAGCGTCAATATGAAAAAAGAAAGTTGGTGATGGAAGTCGGAAGAAGAAACCTCGAATCGAAAAAGTGGCAATGACAACATGCAATTTATTTTAAAATCGCATCTCAAATCAAATCAGGAAAAATAAAAATGGTATACGATTCAAATGACTATCTGATAATTTCAAGGCCAAGGAAATTCTGTCTTTTCAGAATAAATAAACTCTATTCAACTGTGCAAAAATCCAATACGGTGTCGATAAGAAAGAATAAAGTTGACGTTGAAGGATAGATATTGAAATTCTGATTATGCCATCTTGTAGAAGAGAAAAAGTGACTATGTTAAATACAATTTATTTTTAATTTCCACTACAAATAAAGTCGATTTTGGGAAAAATCGGTTACTTCCATCTTTCTCCAATAATACTTTAACTTTGAAACTTTCTTAGCGGCATTTTGTATATCTTTTTAACAGTCCTAACAAGAGAAACAAGATCCATAGTGGATCGTGAAATAAAGAAGCAACGCCAAAATTACCCATTATCCTTTCAAATGAGGAAATCGAGTAGAACGATCTGGCAACACCGAGCTGATCGACAAGGGCGCCGGCGCCGATGGTGCTGCCATCTAGCGCGCGGGGGACGAATGATCATAGGGGGTCGTAAAGGGGTTGTCGGAGGAACGAGGTCGATGGTAGGACAATGCACTCGTGGTGTGCATTAAGGGGATGATAGCTGGATAAGGCAGTGTGGGAAAGGGGGTATGAAAACGCTGGTGAGTGGGCTAGGAACGGAGATGATCTCGAATTCATAGAAACAGCATTTTTTATAGTTAAGGATGGACAATTTTTACTTTTATTATTCAATTATTATACAGGGTGTCCCAGAAGTCGACGTCAAGCCGAAATCGGGTGATAGGCAAAGTCATAACAGCTATCAGAAAAATATTTAAAAAAATTTTATGTATGTGTTTTGAAAATTATAGGTCTTTGAAGAAGATATAAAAATTTCACGCCCTACGGCAGTCTGTCAACTCCTGTTACTACAAATATTAACTTTTTTTGGATTTTATTTTTACAATGTAATGATGGATAATGCATCTTCAAACTGGTGTCTCAACCTTACTGCCAATTTTCCTCGTACAGGAAAAATTGTCACTTATTTCCCAACCAAGTATTCCAAAGTAAAACTTTGCTCAACTTTAACTGGCTGTACTGGAAAAAAATGTACTTCGAGAGTTTGGCAAGTAACCTTAAAAGTTGGCGCATTTAATAACGATTTCAAAATGGTATAACACTCAGAAGATTACTCGTTAACTTATGCACAATTTTTATTTGAAAAAAAACTGATGAAAAGTTTTCAAAATTTTCTAATTAAACAGCGATTAGGAAAACGCACAAGGACCCTTAAGGATAACTGTTTGCACAACAGTGGTCGTCAAAATGCTGCTGATGATGATTTACCTTTACAGCAAATGCTCAAACTGTTGTCCTTAAGCCGCAATACACGCTCGACATCTTCTTAAAAAATATCGGGTTATTAAACGAGCGACTCCACGGTTATTAACAAACTCAGCTGCTTCCAATAGTCTTTGCCGTAGCTCAGCTACATTTTGAATCGGCTTGAAATACACTTTTTCTTTTACAGTTCCCCAGTAAAAAAATCTAAAGGATTCAAGTCAGGTGATCGGGCTGGCCACGGTATTGTACCAGACCGCCTTATCCATCTGCCTTGAAAGTTTTGATCGAGATACTCTCTCACTGAGAGTGCACAGTGCGCTGGGCAGCCATCATGCTGAAACCACATGTCCCTGTAAATACTCAGTGGCACGTCCACCAATAAATTTTGTAAATGATTTTTCAAAAAATCCAAATAAACTTCAGCAGGCAAAGTCTCTGGGACCTCAAACGGACCGATTATTTTACCATTTAAAATTCCTGTCCAATGGTTTATCTTGAAGCGATATTGAGATTTATCTTCTCTCATCAAATGTGGGTTTGCTACGTACCACTCGTGTAAGTTATGCAGGTTCATGTACCCATCTTTCTTAAATGTGGTCTCATCCGACCATAAATTTTTTTCAAAGAACTGTGTATCTTTCCTGTGTCTTTCTGATATTGTGCGACAAAAAGCAACTCGGGGCTCATAATCCCGGGGCAGGAGAGGTTGAACACGCTGTATGTGGTATGGATGAAGCACATCACTTACTTGCTATTGCACACTTTGATACCGATCAGTACTCCTTCGTTTACTGCGCATCTTTATATGTTCGTGCTTGTTGATTTCGTACTGTTACTAATTTTGGATTCGTGAACTGGACTGTTGATCGCTTGTGATTTGGATTTGGACTGTTTAATTGCTCTTCAAAACAACATTTGCTTTCCTTAGACTATCTTTGATAGTGTGATTGTGCAGTGCCGCTATGTCCGTGTACACCGTAGAAGAATATGCTAACATGCACCTCATTTATGGGGAATGCAGATGCAACGCTAGTGCTGCAGCGAGACTTTACTGTGAGAGGTACCCGAATGCAGCTCGTCAT